AAGTTCGTAGCGTTACGAACGTTTCGAGAATAGCTAGCCAGGGACGCAAGCCGCCTAGATAATATCTGGAAGCTGTTTCCCGCTTTCTCAAAGCAGGATAAGACAATATATGTGCAAACGTTGGATGCTGTTTTGAGCCAGTGGTATGTCATGCTAGGAGGATGATGGATGTAATGAATAACACTGACATTCATAACCATATGTACGAAATCAGCTATTCCTTTGTTCAATCAAGTTAACAAACAAAGACTGAATCGTGTTTCTTTGTGTTTTTAAATTGTCGGAAAACGGGGTTGTGTGAAATAAGGGGAGATATGTTACTTTTAGTATCAAACGTTTAATTTGCTGTTCACTGGTCCAGTGGTTTCCCAGTTCAAATGTATATGTACATGTAGGTTTTTAATCTGCAATGCTATATTACCAACACCTAAGCACTGGTAATATGTAGTCTTATCATGCTGTCATGTACGACATGCCATGTGTATCCCACTCTGTATCGACCTCAAGTTACAGAGATCTAGTCCCTTTAATCATGGAGAGGCAAACACATCCAACTAATTTAACCATTTACCTTGGAAAATGTATATGACAAAACATGGCGTGAGTACTTCAATCATTCATGGCCACTGACTTTTTATTATTATAGGATTAATAGCACATGTCTATTATTGTCTGATGATATAACGCCACTAGTACGTGGTCAAGGCGTTGGAGTGTTCCTTTCATCAACAAATGTCTTTTATCTCTTTAACCAGTTAAACTCCGTGGGGAGTATTCAACTCATGCAACCTGTTAAGCGCAGCGAGTTATCACACAGCTCACAAGGTACCCATGTGCAGCTGGGCGAACCTGGGACACATAGTCACAGTATTTTGTCCAGTGTTACTGCACGTTACTATACTCGCACCTAGGTGTCTGCAAGTGTTCGTGTCTCCAACATCTGGTCACCTACTATCGGATGTGTTTGGTTCTTTTAAGTGCACAGGGTTATGTATTTACACCTGGTCACAAGTGAGGGTTGATCCAAGCCGCTTTCTGGAGCAGCGTCTTAGACACCTCGCCCACCCCGCCCCCAGTCTTATTCAAACTACATAATGAAAGTACGGTTATAAATGTTCAAAGCTCTTACATTAAACTGAGCCTGAGCTACCGCATCGACATTAAGTTAGTTGGAACGCAGGGAAGAGCTTCATCCGCATGCAGTGTTCCAGATAACTGTATCACTGTGACCGTCACCTGAAATCGGACTATTTCAACCGTGACCGCCGAAATCGCCCACAGCAATTAAGATCTAAAGAATAGGATTTATTAACATAGGGCTGGGTGAGCAGGAATAACCCTTCACCACTTGGGTGAATCAAACTCGCATGCTTATAATGTGTGCATTGGCTAGATGCTTGGAGTGAAAGAATAGCCGGGAAGAGCTGGTACAGATGGCTGAGCGGGTTAGGCGGCTGACATTGTGTGCTGGCGATTAGGTGCCTGACTCTGAGGGTGTGGGTTCGAATCCCGGATGGGACCCAACCCAACAAAATTAGAATCTGTACTTTACAAAGAAAGTGTAATCTAAAATATAACATATGTTACATTTGACCACTTTGTATTGTGTATTTCACAACTACTGTCAGAGTCAATTCTCACGATGACTGGTCTAATGGTAATATGGTCCAAACTACTCTCTTGCCAGTATATAGTTTCAATATCATTTACCACCTTTTCAACTCATCTCTGTCATGTGTCTTGCGTGATGTTAGGATGGATTGCTGTACATATGTTTCTGAACATCACCAAGTTTGAAGGACGTTTGGTGGCGTTATGTCTTCCAACTTCGGACTTGACGATACCCCAGACAAGCTCTATGGGGTTAAGGTCACAATGGTAGGGGGAAGATGAAGCACTTCATGACCGTGACTCTTTAAGTATTGGTCAACCTTACACACGGGGTTAATTTTATTTGCCTTAATATTTCCGTACAAAACAAATTGTGTTGCCTTTAATGTAACTGGCAAACCATTTTTCTCAAGCCATGCCAACAACCCATTCCTGCTCTTTGAAACTGCGGCTTGTGTGTCAGGGTCCTGTACACTTTAGTATGGAACATTGTCCATGACCAGTCAGCTTTTGGGAGGCAAGGCGGGAACAAGCTGTTCTTGTAGCCATTCTAAAAACACCTCACCATTTATCTCGGTGTGATAGTCACGATTGTCTTTTAATTTTTCTTTAAATAGGAGCGAACAACCTGGCATAAAACACCTGACTTTTACATCCTGCATGTCACACAATCAAATGCTCACCCTTGCCAAGTGGGAGTTTTCGTACGCATGTTTCTGTTGATGTACTGTCAACCCATCGAGTACCTAAGGTGTGACTGGCATTCACCCACGTTTCATCCAGAAAAACAGGTTCGAAACCTTCATTACGTTTTTGCCTAAATAATCGCAAGTAGCTATTTCGTAAGCAAATAATGTTGGATCTTTCACAGTGGACATATATTCTCAACGGTAATCTTTTTATAAGGGAACCCAACTTTGTGTTGCAATAACTATAACTGACGTTTGGATGTTACAAGGGAATTTCGGTCTCCATGTGCTTTTTCAAAACACGGAAAGAAAGGAATATATTTTGGCCATATAACCTCGTAATAGTTCTTTTTCATATGAATCAAGCTTTACTCATTCATGCTCCACTAACAGGCGCCAATATCATAATTTTGTGTCGCACCATCGTTTCAATCTTTAACTAGCCATATATACCATCAATCATAGTCGACTTTCATGTATTAGTGTGAGATCTATCTTTTAATAAAACAAATGGCAATGTCTCCACATTTGTTAATTTTATAGTTATATCAAACAATGTTGTCGCCAGAGCACCCTCTGGTAGATATGGTCTCTTTAAAATCGCATCTGTAATCAGCATGAGCCAGTGTATTGTCTTCTATGCTGCCGACTAGCTCTGTGTAAAATATAATAGCCAAAAATGTGTCTTTCCTCCAAGGAATTTCTACCAATGACATCAAATGATGCTGTCGCCACACAGGTGAACAGATACGTCACTGCCACTACAAATACTGTATGTTTAGGTGTAACTGTTTGTTGTTCATGAAAACTATTTTTCAAAGACGCTGAAGGCCTGCAGAATAACGTAACATAACTTTTTGCTTTAACAATGTTGTGTAGAAAAAACATTTTGTATGTTTACAGTTGGATTGTGACTGGTATGCGAGATTTCGAACAGATACGTTACCAGGGAAGCTAGAATTAATCGAAACGTAACTTCTTCAAAGCCGTATAGCAAACACACATGCAACACTCTCACCTTACTTAGTCTGAAAATTGCTGATTACAGTTTACATCTGTGTTAAACGAACCCAGAAACGCTTTTGCCAAACAAATACGTTACCAACAGATACGTTACGCGTTGTCTGTCCTTTTACAAATTGTAAATTTACCGCTGAATTTACATCTAAATCACGCGTTATTTGCACAGTCGGTGTGAGTTCTGTCATTTGACACGTTGCCTGCTAAAACAGTACACAGGAAGAAGATTTTTAAAGCTAATCAATACATTTGTTGGGGGACTATATTTGTTGAGAAAATAAGTAATTAACAACATATGACGGTCATCACAGTTGCTTTCTGGCTTACTGGGTGCTCTTTGACTTGTAGTTTAGTTCTTTAAATCCAAGACAGGTCCCAGTGGTAAAGTCATTAATTACTGCAGTGTATGATGATTAGTGGTACGCTGGAAAAGTTCAGGAAGTCAATGAAGTGGATTTAGAAGAGTAAGATTCCTTCATTGTCAGTCCACCAACAAAAGGTCAGAAACAATTCAAATGGCCTTTGTTTTCTTCAAAATACAGACTGTTTTTATCTTACTTTCCCAACTCTATCAAGAAACATAATTCTTGCGTCACTGGCAACATATTTTTCTATTTATGCCTTATAAAGTTTGAGAATATAGAAATCAGCTTTTTCTAGAATAACAAATAACAAGTCTACCCTTACCACTTAAAACTAGCTCATATGCATTTGGATGGGAAGGTATTTTAAGCGATATCAGGAAATAAGAAAATAGAATATTTTGTAACACTAAAGGTAAAAAACATTCAATTAATGCATGTTTCTTTTCCTAAGTACTTGGATACTCAAGATTTAAAATGAATACATTAAAAATTGCAGAAAAATGTAATTACGTAGAAACTTGATCCCAAACTGGCATTCTAGAGGTAACGTGACAAAATCTTTGATCTATATTTCAGTGTTTGTATCATAACATCTACGACTGCTGAATGGAAGCCGTTTTAACATCATGTCTAGGCACTATCCAATTTTAATTTAATACTATTATGAAAAGAAAAAATGAAGATCATTTTTAAAGTTGACAAAGTAGACTGGCGCCTGATAGTGGAGAATGAACGTACTACTTTCACTGGTTTTGTTATTTCCCCTTCAGGTGTGGTACTGTTGGCTGAAAAGCCCTTTCTGCTGCTCAGTACGTGTTTTAATTTTCACTCAGATACCCCAACAGCACATGCTGTGCGATTAACATATTTTGAAATTGCATATTTAGGTCCAGTCATCTGTGATTCAGCTTATAATAATCACAGACCTTGTAAATAATAGACGAAACTTCATGCGAGTATTTCATGGTGCGTGTCCCTCAGCACATGTAAATGAATCAATAATTTTGTTGACACTTGTGCACGTGCTTCATGCACACCTGGCTGTTCCTCTCTTTTCACTCCTCCCTCGTAACTGTGTCAATATTTTAATGATAGTTTGTTAAACAGCTTTGTTATTTTGGGGACATAAATTATGCAAAAACACTCACAGAATTGGCCTGATGTTTTCATTATGATCAGCTTTTCATTGAGTATTATATGTTTATTAGATTTCGAGCTAGGTTGATTTCATAGGTTCGCTCTTGAGCCAAACGGACTGTAATGTCTCTGACATATCACCAGAAACACCGTGGCAACATATTGGACCACAGGGGTCTGTTGTGGGGAAGCCGCAACCGAGTGTAGAGAAGCTCTTCGTTGATCAGCTCAAAACGCTCCCGGCAGTGGTGACTCCGAGGTCGTATGAGCCCAGGTGTAATAAGGTATGACACTGATTTATCCTCCACATTTCACAACATATCACTCGTTTATTACTCAAAATAATCCACCATCGGAGTACATACAAAATGTACAAGATGACTAGATGATACATCAATTAAAGTGTTTACAAACAATCTTAATGAACTTAGATACATTTTTAAGGGAAGATATTTTACTTTACCAAATTTGGCCAGAAACAATATAGTTCTTTTAACAATGATTTACGTATGTCTGCAAAATAATTACATTTAAATAAATAGTGAAACTAATCTCCAATCACATGAGAAAAACATAAGTTACAGAATCTATGTTCTTTTGGTGTATTTTGCCATCTCCCAGTTTCTATGGGAAGTTTATGGTTGCATGTTCTAAATTGTATCCAAACATAGTTATTTGATGTTTTGTTTTGTTTAGTAATATATTCAAGAAAAAAAGCTGCTATTTTGTTATTTGGATGTGAGAATGTCAATTTACACCAATACGAAATTAGTCGTTTCGAAATTTGAAGCTGAATAGATTCTCTACCAAGTTCCCCGTACACCATGAAATTAGGGGTGTCATATCTAAAACCAGTAGCTAATTTACGAAAATTTAGATCATGTCAGTCTGTTCGTGTCCCAATATTTCGCATCCATACATCAATATTGGTACTACTAATCTATAAAATGCAGAAAGGAGCAGACCTATCGGCAATTTAACATTTCTTGCACGTTTTAGTAGTGCTATTGATGCCTTCATATCAAGATCAGCTATGTGTTTAACAGAAACATTCATACGACTATTTATGTGCAATAAAGTTCCTAGGTATTTGTAGGTATCTACAACTTATTATCATAAAGTGCAAAAGATGTAAATAGCTGCAGGTCCGGAACCAAAAACAACAATCTTAATCTTACTGATAATTACTTTAAGTTTCCATGTGTCGCAATATACAGCAAATGTATTCAGTGTGTGTTGTAAATCATCATGAGTTTCAGCTAAGAGGACTGTAGAACTAGCAGTTTGAAGTAGATAATATACTCATCGTTATTAGATTCTAATTCAATACCAACACATGCTTGTTCTTCTAGGTGGGATTCCAGGTCATTTAGAAATAAGGAAAATGAAAGGGGAGTCTAACTCCTGAAAGACGATGAAAGAAATCTGATCTTGCAGATTCTATCATAACGCAGGATTTTATTTCATTATACATATTTTGTATTATAGTCAGTATTTTACCCTTGATACCAGTTTGTCTTAATTTGGTCCACAGTCCAAGTCTCCAAACTTTATCAAATGCTTTAGAAAAATCAATAAAGGCACAAAAGAGTTTCTTTTTACATTTCTTCTGACGATTTAACAAATTATGAATAATAAAAACATTATCTGTTGTAGAGAAGCCTTTTCGGAAACCGGATTTGGCATGCGATATTATATCATCACAAAGTTTATATAATCTCTCATTTAGGATACTAGTAAAAACTTTACCAAAGCAGCTCAAGATAGAGATTGGTCTATATGAAGCCGGGCCATACGATTTCCTGTTTTCTTAGAGATAGGTTCAATTGTACCAGTAAGCCATGCTTCAGGCTAAATTCCAGTATGATGTACAGTCGTTAAAATATTTAACATAAGAAGGTAGCAGTTTCTGGTAAATAAGGCTGAAGATAAGTGCTCATTTGAAATCAAATCTAAGCCAGGCGTCTTGTTTTCCTTCAGTTTTTGAAGGGCAACGACGATTTCGTTTGAAGTTATTTCATCATTGAGTACACTAACATCATAATTTGGGGAGTCGGTCATTCCATCCGGATCCACGTCATCAGTTGTGGTACTTTCATTAACGTATTTGTAATGATCATAAACTTCATCTAATGGGATAGGACAAGTGTCTTCTTTCTGTTTACCTTTCAATAACCTACAGTAGTGTTTTGGAGATAAATGCTGGATTTCGCGTAACTGTTTTCTAATAAAATTATTTTCTTACTTTATATACTATTCATTGTTTTCTTATACTCTTTACTTGCTTTGGGGAAAATAGTTGTATTGTTTCCAGTTCTGTTCTTATAATAGACATTTATAGCTTTCAAAAATGACTTGCGTTTCTTCTTACAATCTGATCCAAACCATGGCTTAGAGGGCGCGTTCTATTTACTACGAGTAGTGGTATTAGCCAAATAAGAAATATCGCCAAATGTTTTTCGTGCAGAATCAATTACCACGTGCAGGACCTCATGAGCTATTTCATTCACAACCTCTACTGGATTACCTTGACCTTCCCTTAGTGACCTTGCCTTCATGTACAGTGTATTTACACAATCATCTGAAATGTTTTCGAGGAATACCACAACGTTATCATGCATGAATTTACCTAGTTTGCTGTCAGGAATGTTTGTGTGTGTATGAGCTGGCGTCTGCTCATGACATATGTTTGAATTTGGGCATCTGATATGTGTAGACTGAAATGAATTGGTTTATGTACATCAGATAACATTGGACGAAAATCTTCAATACTACTAAAATCATGAAATAAAATTTGGTGAGGGCATGACATAGTCTACTGTACTGACGTCTTTGCATGTTGTTTTACCTTGGTATTTATCCATACCAAGTCTACCATTACAGATGACTACATTATGATTTTTACATAACTCAATCAATCCAAATCCATAATTGTTTGGTTGACCTCTGTCTTGATATGTTCTCTTTCGTGGAATTCCAAGATCCTCAAGCATTGGTTCCGAGTCAAGTTCAGACTTCATGTCATGAAGATCTAGATCTTCAGAGATATGTCTATCAAATGTACAAAAACCAATCAAAGATTTAGTCTTTGCATTGAAATCACCAGTTAGGATGATAGTGTCGGTATGATCAGTCGGTATGCAGCGCGTGAATCTCAGGTAAATGAACAGGTGATCAACAGGGTGACTCACGATATCGGGAATGTGCTTATTGACGCCGCCTGTACAACATTTGGAGAAATGAAGTATAGAAACCCAAATGCCACTCATTCAAGGAATATGGATAAGCCCTGGTTTGATAAAGAATGCCGAAACAGAAGAAATTTATTCCAAAGAGCTAAACATGAAGTTAAATAATCAAACTCAGCTATTGATAGAGCACATTTTCGACAAATGTCAAAAAAACTATTTAAGCTGTTTAGACAAACACATACGAAACTATCAACATCAAATTAATGATCTATTCCGTGAGAATAAGAAGAGCTCGCCTGGAGAATATTGGAAAATTATCAACAAAGCGCAAATTAAACAAATTGAAAATACACCAAATATTGACACTTTCTACAATTATTTTGTTGAAATAAGTGAGGAATTCGAACCAAACGAGGCTGATCTCGACGAGAAATTGACTGATACATGCATTTTCAATACTGAGACCCTTAACAGCGACATTTCACGAGAAGAAATACAAACAAAAAGAAACAAAGCACCGGGTGTTGATTTAATCGAAAATAATTTTCTGATTGACTTAATAGATCTACTTATGCCTCTGTTTTTAGAACATTTCAACCTTGTACTATCATCGGGTATTCTACCGGACTCGTGGCTTACTGGCGTTGTTAAGCCAATCTATAAAGGTACAGAGTGTAAACTGGATCCCAACTCGTACAGACCTATAAACAATTATAAGTGACCTTGGTAAACTTTTTACAAGAGTGTTAAATAACAGGCTGAATACATTCTTAGATACCAACAATATACTTACCCAAATATAAGCAGGCTTCAGACAAGGGTTGTCAACATGTGATAACATTTGGATATGCAAATGATGATCCAAATACTAAAACTCTCTAAAAAGAAACTATGTACGGTATTTGTAGATTTCACTAAAGCATTTGATAAAGTCTAGAGAATTGGGTTGTGGCATAAACTGACAAAAACTAGGATAGATGGGAGATTTTTCACGCTCATAAGAAATAAATATCATAACATAATATTTAGGGTAATGATTGGAAATACCTTATCAGGTGAATTCCCGTGTTACGAGGGTGTGCGACAAGGTGAAAACCTGCCGCCCCTCTTGTTTTCCATATTCCTAAATGAACTTGAACAACACCTCTTTGACAGTAGTTGTAATGGATTTAAATATGAAACGCAATTAACAGTATTGGCCACTTACATCATTTTATTATATTGTTATACGCAGATGATGCCATACTGTTCAGTGAAAATTCAACGGATTTAGAGAAATCGCTGAATGTCTTCTTTCATTACTGTAAGAAATGAAAACTTAAACTAAATTTGTCCAAAACGAAAGTACTTATCTTTGGAAGTGGCCCTGCGAAATCATGAAAACTTCCATTTACCTATGGAACTGAAACTATCAATATTGTAGATACATACGATTACCTTGGAATTAAATTCCATAGGAATGAGCGATTTGTCCAAGCAATTAAAGCATTTTCGGAAAGCGCTACTAAAGCAATGTAATGCCTTTTAAAGAACTCCAGGAATGCTAATTTACCTTCAGATTCCCTTTTAGATGCATTTGAAGTTATGGTTGTTCCAATTCTCTTGTATGGCTCAGAGATAAGGGGACACGAGAACTTAGAAATAATAGAAAGAATTCACTTAAAATTCCTGAAATTAGCCTCCGGTTTCAGAAATAGCGCCCTAAATTAATGCTTTACGGTGAATTTGGAAGAGAGCCTTTGAGTTTCAAAATCTATAAGCGAATTATTTACATTGGCATGAATTAGCCTCTGAGAACACATATTGGAAACCATCCCAGATTATATATATCTGTGTTAACCACATCTGTGACAATAAACAATAAAATATCATGGTTACGTTTTGTGATAACTGCGGTCTATCCTACGTGTTTCTAAATCCGTCTGTATGTTCGACGCCTTGGCTAGTCTCAATGGTCGAAAACACCTACAGATCCCAGTTCTTTCCAAAATTTGAAGTCTAATGTTGATTCAAGTTCCAAGGGGGATTATTATAAATATTTCAAAACCCAAACAATCTTATCTTCTTCTTCCAAAAAGCATATATTACCCAAT